ACTCTAAGTTTTATCAGGTCAAGACTAATAGTAAGCAGAGGAAAACAATCAATCAATCGCATATAAAGCAAACTAGATTTTAAGCAGGTTCTAACTTATAATGTTTAGTGGCGAATATGACAAAGGCAACATACTCTCACAGATAATTATTTTTGAGCTTATGACCTGACTTTTTCCTTGCTTATTCTACAAAGTAATCAACTAAAATAATCCTGAAAATCAGCTTTAAACTGAAGGTATCAATCACTTACCAGCGTGGACTGCAGGATGCAGAGTTTTCACACGTCCCCCTAACATTTCAGGAAATCCTGTCAGCTCAGAGACATCTCTGAAAATAAACAGAATGTTGCTACTCTTTCTGCTGAATTGTTATTTTACATTTTATACCATTCCGAAGCATCTTCTAACATGAAGTCTACTGTTCTCATTTTGAGAGATTTTTCAGAGCCTGGATTTTCAGAATTCAGATATCGAATCATAAGCCATACTAATGCATATCATTAAAATAATTTCAACTGAGAAAATTTGGCGATACAGAACAAAAAGCATTAAAAAAATTCTTATCTCAGAAACTCTACAAAAGTAAAAGCAAGAATTTTGTTTTATGATTAAACAAGCATGAAGATGGTAAATCAACTGAGTGGGGAAATAAGATTGTTTAATAAAAATGGTGTTGGTATTGGAATAACTGGTTAATCCCACACAAAAATTAATTCCCAATGTATCAGAGATTTGAACATTTCAGAAAAAATCATAGAAGTAGCAAAATTAAATACAAGAAAACTATTTTCAAAGCATTAAACAAAAGGTTAATAGATGTGTATGTGTAAACATTAAAAACTTTTACTGAAAAAACGCTGGAAAATTAATTGCAAAATATGACATAGGGAGAAATGAAAGAAAATATTTGACTACTGATCTATATCACCAAGCTGACATGAACCCTCTCTCTGGAAGAACTTATAAGCAAATTCAATGACATGAAAAAATGCCCACAAACAAAAGCAAAAAGAAAAACTATTTTCTATGAGCTATAAAATAACGTATATGCCAAATAGAACTAAGAAATAATTTAATGAAATATCTATTTCATAACATTATGAAATAAAGTATGTGGTAAAGAGAGTGTGTTATAAGCCATTTTCACTACCTTCTTTACAATTTCTAAATTTTTCAAATTATCTACAATCAACATATATTGTCTTCATAGCAAAAAAGTAAACATTTTAAAACAGGAATTTCTACAATACGGTACAGAATTTCCTGGGTACATTCTCCCTATTAAGGAGGGCCATTTGCAAATCACTGGTGTTTGACCAAGGACTCGCACAGTTCCGACATAAACCGACAAACTGGTGACATTATGGTTTCCAATTCAAAATTCCCTTTCCCAGAATTCAGAATAAAATCCTATTTCTCTAACGGAGGATAACTGCTAAAACAGAGAAGGCAGAATTAACCACCATTTGAGAGGATTAAAAACTTGCTACTCCTTTAAGAGTTTAAGAATTTAAGAATTTATGTCACCTGCCCTCTTTGGAATAACCCTCTGTATGCTCAGCGCTATATACTCACCAATTAAAATCTCATCAGTTTATCTCACACCTCAAGGTTAACTTCCTAAGATAAAATCTTGGCTCCGCCTCTTACTAGCTATGTTAGTTATGTGATCTTGGACAAGTTACATGACTTCTTTGCGCCTCAATTACCTTATTTATTAAATGGTAATAAATAAAAATTTATTTATTAAATGGTAATAAATAAAAATAATACACCAAAAAGTTGCTGTAAGGATTACATGAATCTATATATAAAAGTGTGAATAGTCTCTTTAATTGGAGAGAAACACATGTACATATCCACAATTAAAAAAAAAAAAAAGCCCTAATGGGGTTAAGTGAAGAGTGGGTAGAGGTACTGAGCAAACAAGACTAGAATTTTAAGTATTTAAACAGGGCATGGATATGCAATATGTTCATTATACTTTTCTCTCCCCATAACCGTCTGAAATGGTTCCACAATACAACACTTGGTGAGGGAAGAAATGGGGCTACAGAAGAGGACCCTGCTTAATTTGAAGGGTCCAACCACAAAAAGACTCAATATGGGACGATGGAAGAACAGTTTATCTAAGCGCTTTTACCCCGTTGCTGTTCAGACAGAGTCGCCCTGCCTTCCATGATTCTTACAGGGCTCTTATGAGAACCCCACCAGAGAGATGCTGCAAAAACTTTGACACATATTAAGGCATTCTTGTCATATGAACTTGTCCAATTTAGGGAAGCTGCGTCCTGCCCACACAGGGCAGGATTACAAGAGGAAAAAGGTAATAATCTGCCTCTACCTAGATCTAGACAGCAAGCAGCAAACTTTTCCAAATGGCAACAAAAGCAGACCCAACACTTCACTCCTTTTCTATAATATATTTCAGGGGTGTGTATGAACTCTCACTGCAGTTTATTACGGCTGTCCTGTGGCCTTTTTCATTTTCTACCTTCCAATCGTTACTCCCTCTCCCACTAGCAGAATGCCAGCTCCTTTGCAGCCTGATTTATCTTTTGCTCATTCCTTCTTCCCATCATTTATGCCAGTTAATGAATAGCTTGTGGACAAGGGAATGATAGATTTGTGCCTTCGTATGGTTACCAGAGATGCGAAGAGAAGGAGACTTGAATCTTACAGATGTCAAGAGTTTATTAAAGTCAGTCCAAACAGATCATGAGAATCATAAATTGAGTTTGTCCTGCAAAACAAACAGCCCACCTAATTTGTCATAGGGTGTAGTTTACAAGGGAGACTCTGAAATGAGGATGCCCAGGGTCCTAACCGCTGGGTCTACTACCCCTTAAGTCTGTAAACTCAAGGAGAAGTTAGTAACTCTCTCTGAGCCTCACTATATAAGCAGTATACCAACCTCGTGGCATTGCTGGAAGGAGTAAATAAGGTATTTTACTCATAGTGCCTGTAATACATTACTAACATGATCATATAACGTTGATTGGACTTAACTTAAAAACTAAGTTGTGCCTTACCTGACTGCCAGACCAGCATCCCTGAGAGCTTTTGCAGTCCCTCCAGAAGCTATCAGATTCAAACCAAAGGAAGTCAAGTTTTTGGCAAATTCCACAAGGCCGGTTTTGTCAGAGACACTAAACAAAGCTGAAACACAAGACATTTTCCCTCATCACTCATAGCACATTAAGATGTTTGTCCTTCAAGACCTTAGGGGAGGGGACCAGGGGGCGGTTTAGGGAAGGAAGTCACGAATCTCAAGGCCACCATCACCTCTGCCAACACTACCCAAGCCCAAACCCGCGGCGGGATCTGACAGCTGCCGTCCGCCTCACGGCGGGCCTGGGCCTCCAGGCCTGCAGCGCAGCCAGGGCCACCGAGCTCCCGCCCCACGGCCGCCACCGGTGGGGGCGGGGGAGGAGGGCGCCGCGGGGCACGGCGCGATAGCGCAGCTTTGCGAGGATGCGCGAGGGGCTCACCGAGCTGGCCGGGTGCCATGGCTGCTAGCAGCGAGTCTGAGCTGGGTCAGCAGCGGCCACGCCACGTGCAGAGGGAGGTGCTCCGGCCGAGAGGATCTCGCTCCCGGAAGCTGGGTGAGCGGCCCCGGAGGGCACCTGATGGGTCACATGACCCGGCCTGCCCCGCCCCACCCGCGCTCCGCCCTGGCCCACGCGGCGCTCCGCCCTTCTTAATTTTAAGCCTGAAATTGGAGCCTTGAAGCTGAAAGGGAGGGTGGGATGGGGCCTTTTCTAGACCTGAAACTTAAATTTGAAGGAACACCGCCTGGAATCTCACACTGCAGGCCTGATTTGTCCCTGTTTCTCAAAATGTGGCCGCCCCTGGGCCTCAGGAGCAAATGTTTGTTGTCCAATGCAGCCTGTCCCCAGAGACTGGAATGTAACTGAAAGTGTTAAAAGCATTACAGAAAAGCAGAGAAACAAAAGTTCACAGGTTGACAGCATCTTGGCAATCACTCATCACCTCTTGATTTAGCAGATTTTAAAAAAATCAAATGCAGACCTAAAGATTAAGTGATTGACTCTGCAGATCACATAGTAAAGGTAAAACAAAGTGAAGTTGATATTCGCTTGAAATTTTTGATTCCACATGTAGATGGAAAAGGGGATTCTATGGAAAGTAAGCTCACAGAGTGATTTGATCATAAATTTCTAACTGGGCAGGTCATGGCGGGTAGTCATGCCTAAGACCTGTAACTGGTGAAAAGTTTTAAGCCAGCCCAGCCCATTGTTCTTGTGCATCTAGGTTAACACACCCTTGAAATAACAGAAGTAGTAGCCCTGGAAGGGGGTGTTAACTCTCAAGAGAGCACATAATATTGTTAACTATCCTGCAATCCAATCTGTGTCTTGCTTTCTCCAATTTTCCTTACATTCCCTCCTTAATTTCAAATGCATAAAAGAAGCTACAAAACTGTTATTCTCAGAAGCATTTGAGATCTTGCTATCTAGCACATGTTGTCATTGTGGCTCAAATAAACTCTCATAAAAATTCCCTACAGGTTTGTACATTTCTTATGGCAACAAGGTTTTTAGAGGAAATAGGAAGCAGAAAAAGGAGAAAATAATGCTGAGAATTAGTGATAAGAGGAAAATAAACAGTACTTAGGCATTCAGCATTTTACCTTCATGTGAATTTCAAACAGTCAGTTTAATATTTATTGAGCACTTTCTGCCTAAATAGCAGAAACACAGTGATGGAAAGGCAGAGACAAATGTCATCTAATCACTGTCCTTAAGGAGCTCATGATGAATAAAAGTACAGAAACATAATTAGGTATAACTAGAAAATTTTAATAGAGAAAACATGAGATTAAATTGATTTTTATAGAAGCCCTTTGGAATCCTGCCATACATACTAAAATAGAATGAACTGTAGGTTCCAGACCAAGACACAACTTTATTCACTTAAAAATGTTGACTAAGATTAATTCTAACTAATCTCTTTATAGCTCTAAATTTCAGACTTGATATGTTAATGGCAAGAAGAGTAAATAAATTTTTTTGCTAGCTTTGTGATCCTGGCCGCATCGTTTCATCTTTGGGAATCTTAAGTGCCTTGTCTATAGTGTGGAGATAACATTTGTTCTGTAGGCTTCATCAGATTATAAAAAACAAATTAATCCATGGAAAGTATAAACTGCAAAGTGACTAATAAGAGTAATAAAGAAGCATAATTTTCTTCTTGGTTATTCCCTTGATGTAGTTGCTAAGTGTGTACCTCTCTGGTTTTACAGTATGATCTTTTTAAAGATGCTAGTAGCAAGCAAGCTAGAGTATTTTAAATGGAAGACGTCCCCACGAAGACATGAGCTCATCTTCCAAGGGTCTATCACTAACATTACTGTTTCCTTTTTTAGTACATATGATAGCATTCCAAAGGACCTGCATGCACTATACTGATTACATTTTCATTTCTTCTCTTACTTCATACCCTTTCGCAAAAGAAATTTGAAGACCTTGAAATCATCTTTATAGATCTAAAACTATTCAAGATATTTATAAGTGATTTTAGTTCCTCAAGTGTGCTATAATCTGCTTTCCCTCTATGTTTGCTCCTTGTGTAAACTTTTCACTTTCTCCAAAAAGCCTCCACCTCATACCCAAATCTGGGATCTTCTACTGGACTCCAAAGATTAGTAACACTGCTCCATTTGGGGCCAACTTGTTCCAAAAGCTTGTTCCAACTTGTTCCAACTCATGTGGATGAAGTCTGCTACATGAAGTGACTCCTAGGAGCTTGGATAATTGGATGGATATATTAAGTATTATCTACAAAATCCCTCTCTACTCTAACCTAGAGTAGTTAAACTATCTTATAACGCATTAAGATATTTGAATGCTTTTCTCAAAGGTTTGGGGCTGTTTGGAAATTTAAAGTTGGCAATAATACAAAGAATGAATTAGAATAACTGGAGGAGGGAAACCAGTTATGAGGATTTTGCATTAACCCACACAAACACCTAACCAGATACACGAAAGCATGGAAGAGGAGAGATTTATGTAAGACAGAATCAGGGGCAAAACCGATAGCACACAAATCAATTACATAAGGAAAATATGAAATGATTCCATCATTTCTAGCTTGATCATCTGAATAGCTGGTAAAGCAAATAACCAACATAAAAAAAAAAAGTATGAGAAAGAACAGTTTTGATATGTGTCTATTTTTGAGGTCAAAATGAGACTTTTGAGTAAATTAATGTTAATTTCAAAGTATAAATAACTGAATGAAAATATACGGTAAGTTTTTGGAAATGCAAATATGAATCAGGAATGGATGGGAGGCTAAAAGTAAATAAATTTGGAAAGTTATGACACTGAGGTGGTAGTTGAAGCCTGAAAGAAGATAAGCTTGCTTAATTTGGTTCAGCAAGTAGCCTAAATCAAAAGGCCAAAAAAGGGAAATTTATTCATGCAAACATTTAATGCCCTAACAGTGCATGTGGATTTTAACCATTTAGCCTTCGTATAATTAATAGAATAGTAAAAAATAAAAATAAAAAATGATATTATGTCAAGTGTCATCTTGTGGATATTTATGGATTCATAGATTCATTCAAAAAAATATTTACTGAAGAGCCGCTATGCAGCAGGCCTGAAATCAATGGGCATACAAAGGTGGATCAAAAAGACAAAAAAAAAATCTCTGGCCTCATGGAGTTTTCATTCTCAGAGGACGAGACAGTCAATATACACAAGAAATGAATAAAATTTATGGTGTGCTAGATAAGTCGATACTTTATCCTTATGGGAAAAATAAAACAGGGAAGAGGGCAGGGCAGAAGGGAGCTACAATTTTAAGTAGGTTTGTCAGAGAACTTCATACTGAGAAGGCGCATTTGAGTAAAGGACCAAAATTGGGAAAGGGTAGAAAGCCTTTCCCAATTTTGGAGGGTGTTTGGAGGAGAATATTTCTGGCTGAGAGACTAGTCAGTGCAAAGGCCCTGCACAGGGAGTACACCCGTCCTGTTTAAAGAACAGCATGGAGGGGGATACGGCTGCAATAAAGGGAGCAAGACTCAGAGAAAGAGAAAGGGAGATCAGCAGTCAGGTTGCACAGGGCTTTCGGGACCATTGTAAAGACTTTAGCTTTTACGCTGAGTGGGAAAGGAAGTCCTTGGAGAGTTTTGAGCAGGAGTGGCATCTAGCTTATGTTTTAACATGCTCATTCTGGTTGTATGGGAATCAAGGACCTAGATATTGAGTGAAAGATGAAAATGGCAAAGGAGTTCAGAACAGGCCTCCTCGGCATAAGGATTATTTGAAGATGATGTGATCAGGACTTTACAGGCTCATGAGAAATTTATCTCTCCCTGAAAGAATTTAAATTTGGGGCCTTGTGCAAAATAAGAGTTATTGCCAGAGATAACATTTTATGACCTACCTGTAGAGCAGGGCAAACATCTAATTATTGAAACTTTGCTTTTCTTATCTTCCTGCAAATGACCTTCTTTCTCTCTGAAGCCCCAATGTGTCTTACCTAATCCTTAGCTCAGAATGACACACATATTTCATTTTAACTTTCCGTCTCTAAACATCTCATGTATGTGGGATTTCTGACTCTCTCATGTATATGGGGTTCCCATACATATATATGTAATTAAATACAGTCATTTTTATCTTATTAGTCCATCTCATATCTATTTGATTGTTAGACCAACCAGAAGAACCTAGTAGGAGAAAGTTTCTTCCTTCCCTATAGTGGCATGATCCAGGGCGACATCAGTGGGTATTGTGAGAATGAATCCAATTCCAGATATTTTCTGAAGGGACAGCAACAAGATTTGCTGATAGTTTATTGCAAGATATGAGAGGAAGAAAGGAAGCAAGGATGACTAAGAAATTAATTGGCCTGTACGACTGGAAAACTGAAGTTGATATCAGCCAACATTGGGAAAGCTGCAAGTAGAGTAGCCCTGGGAGGAAGAACAGAAGTTAAATTAGGACATGAAATGCCTATTTGAGACATTTGAATGGAGATGTCTAATGGGTCGTTGGAGGAGCACAGCAGGGAGCTGCAGGCTGGAGATATAAATTCGGGAGTCATTAATGCGTAGATTATATTCAAGGCATGACAATAGAAGACACCAAAAAGGAAGCAGAATAATTGGAGAAGAAAAGAGTCCCAGGACATTCCAATATTGAAGTCAATGTGATGAAAAGGAACAATCTGTAATTTTGGAGGAAAATGGAGTGATGAGGAGACTGGGATGTGCTGGAAGTTAAGTGGAGGGAGTATTTCAAGAAGAGGGAACGGTTAACTCTGTGGCCAATACCACTGATAAGTCAAATATGATGAGGACTAAGAGTTGACCATCAGATCTTAGATAACCTTTACAAGGACAGATTTGGTGGCGGAGTGAGAACAAAGGTCTGGTGAGAGTAGGTTCAAGAGAGAATGAGGGAAGAAATTGAACATGTGGAATAAAGCTCATTCTTTGGAAGAGTTTTACTCTAAAACAGGGTTTCTCAACCTCAGCACTACCGACATTTTGGACCAGATAATTCTCCTTTGTGGCTGCTCGTCCTATGCATTGGAGGGTGTTTACAGCATTCTTGGCTTCTACCTGCTAGACACCAGTGATACCTCTATCCCCTAGTTT